GTAAAATGTGAAACTCACTTAACAACACTCTTGCTTAGCAACCAAAATGTTGGCTCAGAAACTCTGGCATTTGAAGCACGCAAGTCTTAAAGCTGTCAAGTTACAAGACCCTTGCACCCCTAACCCTTTAGAAACCCCCCCCCCCGCCGCCAGGGATGTTCAAACTTGACAGCTTTAAGACTTGCGTGCTTCAAATGCCAGAGTTTCTGAGCTAACATGACTGGAGGAGGAATTCTGGGAGTTGAAGCGCGCAAGTCTTAAAGCTGTCAAGTTTGAACACCCCTGGGGGGGTGTTTCTAAAGGTTTTAGGGGTGCAAGGGTCTTGTAACTTGACAGCTTTAAGACTTGCGTGCTTCAAATGCCAGAGTTTCTGAGCCAACATTTTGGTTGCTAAGCAAGAGTGTTGTTAAGTGAGTTTCACAACATTTTATAAGTTGGCCACGCCCACCCAGTCACATGACTGCCAAGCAACTCCCACCCAATCACATGGCTGGCAAGTCACTCCCACATGGTCACATGGCTGGCAAGCCATTCCACCCGGTCACATGACCAGCAAGCCACTCCCACAAAGCAGGCCACACCTACAGAAGAGGTTCTAAAAAATTTTTGAAACCCACCACCGGTCAGCACTAGACTTTCCTCCAATATTCTCCTTATGCCATTCCAAATGTATAATTTATTACAAAGTATCTGAACTTACGAATGAAGGCAAATATATGTGTCCTAGGATGATGTTGCATGATCGAATCTGGGTTGATCACTGGGACCAGAGATTTACTCTTCCATAAGTTACATGAATGCTTTTATCTGAACTTATTCTGAATTACACTTTTTTAGGCAAAGAAAAAAATCAAGATGAATTTAGAAATGTGACATTCAAAGTGAAACAAAACATTTAAATATGAAGTGAGTACAGATGAAGCACTTAAAACTTTTTACAACAGATACCCCAAATGAATAAGTACGACTGTATTTGGAAACAGCATTCCCCATACACTTTAATACAGAGGTCTCAACTACGGCTGGCTTAAGGAATTCTGGGAGTTGAAGTCCACTAATATTAAAGTTGTCAGAGTTGAAGACCCCTGCTTTAATAATAGACATATTTTAATTGACTTCTGAATTAAATATTGAACAGTATTTATTATGGAATCACTGTCTAGGTGGTTTATGCCAGAAAAGAAAAAATAGTTTGTTTTGTTATGCATTTTTCAACCTCTTTTTTTAATCAGTGGAAAATAGAGTAAAACAAACACCAAAAAACAGTTTATTGCTTTTATTTTTCTTAATAATTCCCATTTGTTCATATAATGACCCCATTCCCTGAAATCAAATTAATTTTCATTACTCATATTGTTTTTATTTATTTAACTTTTTCCCCAAAGGACTACCAGGCTGAAAATGGATGTACTTTTAATTTTTCTTAATACAAATCCATATATCTCAGATATCACATTATTTGCAAACATAATGCTAACCCCATTTGTAGGCAGAATTTTTCCTTTCCAACAAATCTAATACTAGGAAACTTTGCATATATAAAATGGGTTTCTCAAATATTGGTACCCATAACCATGAATGAAAGATAACTGGATAGTAATAGGATGATGAAGTATTAAATTTATAAACCAGTTGTTCTTTTCATACTTAGAAATGGGGATGCAGCTATACAACTTCATTACAATAGGATGTTATATGTTGTATTCTTATTTGCAGTTGGAGACATCCTTGACAGAGGAAAAAGAATTTGAGCAACCAAAGGCTACAAACTTCACAAAAACCTTAAGTGAATTTCAGTGACTTTCAGGTTGGATTACTCTCTTGAATGTACGCATTGGAATTATAAAATAACTAGGCTGTCTCAGTTGATCAAGCCTGCCACAAAAATGTGTCCATATCAAGAAATGAAAGGCAAGATTTTGGTCACTCAGATTTCCTGGCATTGTGGCAACCACTTGATGAACTAGAAAACACCATTCACCCTATTAGATTGCAGGTGATTGTTAGAGCACTTATTTTCCATGGATCATGTGGCCGCAATCCAATTAAGTGTTTTATTTGTTAAAATAGGAATGTAGTCTGTTTGCAGAAGAATACATTATTTCATTAAGTCAGGGTATATTTGTTAATATGTTTATATTACAGAACAAGAGCAAGAACAGATAAGAAATTTTACTTTTGCATACTATAAACTTTAATTCATCTTTAGACATCCTTTATTCAAAAGTCTTGAAAAGGATGACTCATCTGATTTCCAGATTGAATTGACAAAAATCAAAGTATAATTTCTAGATGATGTTATACACAAATACATTCTCAATAAAAACCAATAAGCCAAGTTTACCTGATGCCCAGCTGTTACTTGCTTCAACACATTTTCATAACAAACTTCATCCATATTAATAAGCTGCTGTATCTGAAATTCAGGATGCAAAATTTTATTTTAGAATCATAGTCTTGGTTTTGATCCATCTTTTTAAAATATGATGCGTATTTTTAAAATTCACATGATATATCCCACCATTTGATAAACAAAAGATATTATGTATTTCTCTTTCCAGCAGTGGTAAAATTACATAGCATATATTACTTTCAAACATAATGCAATGGTTAAAGAAAACCACAGCTTACAATGAAAATGTTGTGTCACTCAATCATTTCTGGTCCTTCGTGACCACTTGATAATAGTAAGTTAGTATTATCTGCAGTTAGGAACTGCTTTTTTGAAATTGATAATATCTATCAAACTTGTATTTTGCCAATCTTTTTTTAATTGGCTTCAGTTCTTTCATGAATCAGGATCTTCTCTGATGTTTTTTGCTTCTGACGTGCATGTCCAAAATATATAAGCTTTAGCTTACTGGTGCTTTCAATGAACTGCTTGAATTTGCATAATTTGTTATTGCTATCCAATGGTCTCTCCCCCAGTTTCTCCAGCCTCAGAACTTCACAGCTGCTGATTTTTTTGACGGTCACTTCTCTGATGGTCCAGCTATCATAGCCATGTTATGATTGAAAGATCAGAGACAAGAAACTACTCCTTCAGCTAACTTTGTTGTATTGCACTACTAGTAGAGGTCATAAAAAAAAACATCAGCAGTCCACCTTTCACATTTTTCTCTTTTCTCTTTAGCAAAATATTCCTTGAGACTTTTTTCACTTCCAGCCACTAAACTTCATCTAAGATTAGTATTTCTTCCATCAATTTTAACTCCCATCAATTTGCATTTCTTCCAATGGAATACCATATTTTTTGGAGTATAAGACGTACCTTTACCACCACCACTACCCAAAAAGAGAGTGAATACACCAAATGTAGTCTCCCCCACCAGAGGCCAAAAATGCAAGGCATGGAGGCAGCGATGGTCTGTGGCAATCCCTGCAGCCTGGAACAGCTGATTGGGGGGTATTCCGGCAGTCCGAACCAGCCGCCAATCAGCTGTGCTGAATTAGGCTACAAGAAGTGCTAAAGCTGATCAGGCTAGTCAGAGTTTGCAGCAGCAATCACATTCAGAAAGCACGGTAACTGATTCAGCAGGATTCAAAATAATAATAATAATAATTCTGATTCTACAAAAAATCACCCTACTTGGAACAGCTTATATTCTTTGATGTTACCTTAAAAGTTCATAGGTCCTTGGTTAGGACTCGAGCTGTTGAGCTACCAATCATCCCTGAAGGCTGTGAATCTCACCAAAGATTAACCACATAACAACAACAACAACAACAACCAAAGCTAACTTGGAACTGGTTAAGATNCTTATATTTTTAATAAAAGAAGTATTTCAATGAAAAGGCATGTTTAACTAAACGAATAAACAATGTTCTGATATTTTAAGTTTAAGGGGAAATGTTTAATCTCATGAGTAGTATATTACTAACTGATATGATTTATCTTGGGTTAAACAAACTCATAGTATAAACAGTTTTTCTCATGACAATATAGTTATTATTACTGTGTTGCCATTTACAATGACTCAACACTAAATAGAATGGAGTGGACATTTGTTAAGTGAATTTTGCCCCATTTTACAACCTTTCTTGTCACGGTTGTTAATCACTGCAGTTGTTAGCTTAGTAACACAGTTGTTAAGCGAATCTGGTTACCCCATGGACTTTGTTTGTCAGAAGGTTACAAAAGGTAATCACACGACCCTGGGACACTGCAACCGTCATTAATGTGAACCAGTTGGCAAATATCCAAATTTTGATCATGTGACTATGGGGATGCTACAGTGGATGAAACTATGAAAAACAGTTATGTCCTTTTTTCAGTGCCATTGTAGCTTTAAACAGAGTTGGAAGGGACCTTGGAGGTCTTCTAGTACAACCTCTTGCTCAGGCAGGAAACCCTATAACATTTCAGACAAATGGTTGCCAGTCTTCTCTTAAAAGCTTCTAGTGTTGGAGCATTCACAACTTCTGGAGGCACGTTTTTCCACTAATTGTTCTAAGTACCTGGAAATTTATCTTTAGTTCTAGGTTGCATCGTTCTTTGAAGTCACTAAATGAATGGTTGTAAGTCAATGGCTACCTTTGGGTCAAATGTATTGAAACTTATTTCTCCAAGGCTACATCTACAATTAGGTCTTTCAAAGAATCATTTAATGAACCTATTTCATGTTGGGTCTAATATTTTATAGTCTGGTGCATCAGATCACCCTGTTTTAATTTCTGCAGGTTCCATCACCATAATCCTCAGTCCGTTCAATCTTACTGATGTTGAACTTGCTTTCCAAATATTGTTCAAAATGTTATAACTACAGCAGCTTCTAGAAACAAATAGTATTCATTTCATAATGCAAATAACAGACTGGTTCTTTTCTATAAATTTGTTTCTATAGTAAAGAACTACCTTGAGTCATTGGTTCTAGGAGTATACCACATTCGGATAGCTGATTTGACAAGAGAAACTCTTATTTTTAACATATTTATAATTAAACTTATATGCCTCCCTCCCTAATGACTCTAGTCCAGTGGTCTCCAACCTTGGCAACTTTAAGAACTGTGGACTTCAACTCCCAGAGTTCCTCAGCCAGCTGGCTGAGGAACTCTGGGAGTTGAAGTCCACAAATCTTAAAGTTGCCAAGGTTGGAGACCACTGCTCTAGTCCATGAAAAATAGTCCAGTTCACGGAAAAAATAATTCAATTGTCACATACTGTCAGGGTCAAAACCAAGAATGACACATTTTGGATAATTTTATTGTTTTATTTGCGAATATACATTTTGTGCGCATTTGTCCCTATTTAGGTAGTGTATTTTATACTGCTATTCCAGCTTTGCATTTTCCAGATTGTTAATTTTAATTTCTTCTTGTTGCATATGAGTAGCCTTTGCAAGACTTTTAGCCTTTTCTGATTTAATACTTTCTTTTAGTAATTTTTTTCCCCTGTATGCACTTTTATTAACCACCCTGACATTGTCAATTTAGTGTTGGATATTTTGAATATTTGAATACCAATTCTCTGGTGCTGGTTAATGACTGCAATAAAGTTAAGTAAAAATTATCTCCTGAATGCTCATTAGAACAAGCTTTCCTGAAGGACAGATAGAATGTTCTTTCCTCTTTTTAAAGAAAAATGCAATTAGGAAGTTAACTGAATAGATGTCAAGAACATTTTATGGAGATTTTCAAAGGCACTAGTTATCAATGTTTGGGTCACATGTAGGGCATATTTTAAAAAAGGGAAGTAAGAAGAATTAAAAGGAAATTGAACAAGACCTTATGTCAGCACCAGGGCTGGGTTACTGCCAGTTCTAATCTCTTCTATAGAAGAGGTTCCACAAATCTACAGTGCCGTTTAGAACCCGTTCCAGCTCCTTCCCCCTGCCCATCCGCACATCTTCAACATAAAGAGTGAGAGGAGGAATTCTGGGAGTTGAAGTCCACAAGTCTTAAAGCTGTCAAATTTAACACCCCTGAGGATTTTTTTCTAAAGGGTTAGGGGCAATGTTCCCTCTAATTTTTTTTCAGTGTGAGCGGAAAAGTATAGTGTTTGAGCGGCACATTTT